GCGCGCCGCCCTCATGCCTGGACTACGCGGCCACGCGCCGGCGATGCCGCTGCCCGTTGCACGTCGGCCGGCGCGCCGCGCACTGATGTTGGCGTTGGTGCACTACGTTGTGGCCCTGCAGCTGTTTGCGGCCCCCGGGTGTTCTGGCGTCGGCCTGCATCGTCGATGTAAATGGTAGCGAAGACAATGGTCCGGTCCGTGCCTGGTCCGCCTGGGCGGTCCATGCCGGTCTCCGGGCGCTGCTGCTGGTCCCCCTCGCGGTGCTCAGCGACGCCGGTGCCGGTGCCCGCCACGCTGCTCGCGGAGGCCACCGTGCGGCTGGCCCCGGTCTGCAGCCGATCCCACTGGCGGCATCTCCGCCTCTTCACGCTGCTCCTCTTGCTCCCATCAATACTCCTCGGCAGCCAGGAGAGATCCCGCGACGCCCTTCTCCTGCGCGCGAAAGGTCACTGGCTTGCCCGTTAGTGCTCCTGTTGTTGCCCTCCACCTCGTCCTCCTCCTCCTCCGCCTCCTCCTCCCCCTACCACTCCTGCGCGTCGTATTTCTTTTCCTCGTATGTCCTCCGCGGACGGCGGCGGAGGAGAGGGATGGAAGTGGTTTACTATGAGAGTGGGATGGAAGGATGGTTTACTATGAGAGTGGGATGGAATCATAGGCTTCCCGAGAGATTCCCATGATTGCTTCGATATTCCTAGGGTTTCCTAAAGGTCCTTAGGATGCCCTAGAGATTCCTTTGATTCCCTTGAGACTCCTAGGATACCCACGTGAGTCCTAAGATCCTTAGAATTGGATTGGATTCCCTAGAGTATCCTAGTATTCCTTAGAGATTCTTCATATTCCCTACAGATCCCTCATATTTTCTTGAGATCCCTTGGATTCCCTACAGATTCCTAATATCCCCTCGAGATTCCTATTGGTTCCCTACCTCGTAGAGTTCTGTCGCCAGCAGGGATATGGACGAACCGTCGACCGCCTACTCCCAGTCCCCCCTTCGCTCGTCCAGCACCGGGGGCCGGAGGGAGGATGACAACGACAGCGGCGACGACAGCGACGACGACGACGACGACGATGACGACGGCCCCCGGTCCCCTCCCAGAGTCCAACCTGACAAGTGTCTCGAGCGCGCCGAGCCGCGACCGACGGGGAGAGCCCCCGAGAACCAGAAGGCATCCAACCCCGATCCTCGAGGCTTGCATTAAGACGTGCATCATCCCTCTCGAAGCCCACGGAATCCCAGCCAAATCAATTTCCGGACCCCAAACTTTCCGCCCAGGATCGCTTCCCCATGGCCGCCCGAAACGCCCCCTGGAGGCCGAGCGCAAGAAAAGACTTCCTCGAACCCGGATCCTCGAAACTCGAAGGTCGAACCTACCTCGGCGTCCCTCTCCCCCCCCTTGTCCGCGCGCACGGCTGTGGTGCCCTCCAAGGCAGCTCAAGGACTTAAAGCCAATCTGTGAGGAAACGATCGGGCACCGAGATCCGAACAACCCCATCGGGCCCCGACGTGAGAACAAGGATTCCTCCTCAACCTCCGCGTACGCCTCCTCCCCCTCCTTATCCTCCTCCTTCCCCTCCTTACGACTTCAACGACTCTTACTAATCTTACGGGTACTACTTCTACGACTATTACTACCACTACTATTTTTACTACAACTGCTCTAACAACACCGCAACACAGACCACTAAACATACGGCACGGGAAGACGTTTCGTGTAAAGCGTTGTAGCCTTCCTATGAGGCCCGATGTGGCATGATGGGGTACGCGACACTACTGAAACAAGTCGTTGAACCACGCGACGTGCACAACCGCTGAATGCCCAACCGCACGACAACGGGCGAGCTGCCCCCGGGCCTACAAGTGCGCGGGCGCGAGCGCTGGCTCGCGGCGCAAAAGTGCGGGTTCCACGAGGCCCCTTTGAAACAAAGTGCTAGGCATCGCGTACATGCGGAGACGGGAATGGCAGCGCGCGCGCGCCCCGGGAACGCGAATCTTGAACCGCAATGGGTACGCGGAGAACCCTGGGGGAATCCTTCTTCCCGCCTTAATCGCCTCAGGGACGTTTATTGGAATTTCATGGTATACTTTTCGAAAACCTCTGCTATCTTTCGGGAGTCACGCCGCTCGGAGGTCTGGGAACAGTCCGGCGGAGGACGACGACGACAACGACGAGCCTCAAAAATGGCACAAGACGATTCCAAGAGCGCCTCGGGTTCACTCGCCACCCAATGTCTCCAATGTCAATATTTCCAGTGCCATCTCCATCGTTGGCGACATGCTCAACATCGACCCACCATCTCTCAGTCATGAAACTCCATGCCAGCTCCCGATCGTGCACTGCCCGCGACACCTGACCGCCAGCGTCTGCGAAGGTAAGCGCCTCCCTGTGCTCCAAGACTGCCCGCGCGTCTGTCAATGGCCGTAGAGCGCTCCAAGACTGCCAGAAAGCCACCTGGAAGAACCAGGAGCGCTCCAAGAGGACCCCCAAGATGACTCGGGGATGGGCCGAGGGCCCCCTAGACCGCCACAGAAGCCCCCGAGACAACCCAGACAGGCTCCAGGACGGCAATAAAAAGGTCCCGACTCAATGAGGGAAATGCTTGCGTGTCTTCAGGTGCCTCCCCCCTCGCCGCGGCTGGACGCAGCTCGAAGGAACATTGTGCTCTGACCCTGAGCCGAAGACCAGATGCATATCCTGATGGACCTCTGGAGGTCGGAGGACACTGCCCTTGTGAAAGCGGCCACTCGGGACCGTTAGGGCTCTGTGGGGCCCTCCTTGGGCCGTCTTGGGATTCGCTCGGGCCATCTGGAATCCTCCTTGGGCCAATTTGCGGCCAATTTCGGCACACCTTCTCGTTGTGAAGAAACCGGCATCACTCTCCCGCGACTTCCAAAAGCTGTGGTACACGGCACCTCGAGGGAAAAAAGAAGGGGTCGGCGGATGTGGCGTAAGCCTATAGAATCAAAATCTACAGGCCGACCAGTGAAAGATAATCATTTCGTGGTTCGCCGCGCTCATTCAGACGAAGCGGTCCAAGTTCAAGTCCAGGCTCGCGGTCCCAGCGGTCCAAGTTCAAGTCCAGGCTCGCGGTCCCATGTTGCCAGGAGCGCTCCGCTCGGCCTACGTCAGGGGCGACGGGCCCGCGGGCTCGGTGGGCGCGCTCCTGGTCACCGTTGGGTTTTTGTCTCAAGAATTGGCAGCGCCAAGGGGGGCCCCAGTGAAATCGGCCGCTCTCGACCGCCAGCACGGCGCCCGCGGGGGCGGGCCCAGCTGCCTGCGGTGCGGTGTTCTGTTTTTCTGATGGCGGGGTGGCCGCCGGGCTGCCTCGGTCCGCGCGCCGCCGGGCCCGCCTCTCTCAGGCGCTGGGCGCGGCCTCGGCGAGTCGGGAGACGGGAGGCGCGGGGCCCCCGGGGCTCCGAGGAGGAGCCCGCCCGCGCTCTCGGCACCCGCGCCCTGGGCGGCCCTGCACCTGCCCAGCGGGGCCCGCCCCTTTTTCTCCGTTTCACTCCCTGCTTCTTTTTTTGGTGCGCAGCACCTTTGCACGCGGCAGCTTGGCGGCTGTCGGGCGCCGGCGAGTTCGCCGAATTGGCCCGGCTTTTGCCCGGGAAGGCCTCGCGGTTGCAGGCAAGTGGCCACTCTCGATGGCTGCGCTTGTGGTTTGGTTCTGACGGTGGCCGATGGGCTGGAGAGAGTGCCGACAAGTTGCGCAGCCGTGGTGCTGCGCGCCGTGGAGTGGGCGCGTGACCGTTTTGCCACAAAATCATCATCCTCGTTCTTCGCCCGTCCCCGTCTTCCTCTCTTTGCCCCCTCCCGTCTGTGTTAGTGCACGCGCGCCTGCGCGTAACTTGTATAGTCTGGTCGTGGAGACTGAAGGTTATGTGCGGCGGGAGTGGGGCCTTTGGTGGACCCATTTTGGTTCCGCACCTGGGAGGCTCGAGCCGTGGGGTTGCCCACCCGCCCCACTTCGCTCTCTGAAGGCGCTCTCGGCCTCGGCAAGGGCCGACGGGCCGGCGAACGCGCCGACAGGGCGCGCAGCTGCGGTGCCGCGCGCCGTCAGCACGAACCCAGCTGGGGCTCGTGCTAAGGAGTGGGCGCGTGGCCGCTCTGCCACAAAACCATAATCTTTGTCCTTCTCCCGTCCTCGTCTTCCAACCTTTGCTTCCTCCCCTCTGTGTTAGTGCGCACGCGCCTGCGCGTGTCAGAAGGGGAAGAAACACACAGACACAATTAATCGTCGATCCCCAGGAAAATATGGGAAGCGGGGGGGAAGACGAAAGCCCAGAACATATGGGATAATATGGGGCATATTTTTGTGTGTATATTTATTTGTGTGTCCCGGGGCCCCTTCACCCTTTGCTTCCTCCCTTCAGTGTTCGTGCGCGCGCGCCCGCACGTGACGGAGTGTCCGTGCGTCTTCTGGCTCACAGGCGCCGCGGTGCCCACAGGCGCCCGGGCGCTCCCCGTCACAGTGATGCTCGGGCGCTGCTGTGTTCGAGTGGGTGATGAGTGCCAATTGCTGCTCCCGTTATGTCGGGCGCGTCCCCCTACAGGGGGATGTTCGACGAAAAATTAGACATACTTCAAAAATACCCCAAAAAGGTAAAAACATATATTCAAAACATAGTCCCCAGACTATAGTTGGACTATTTTCTAATTCTGTTTGGGGTATTTTTTTTTCGTCGAAAATCCCCCTGTAGGGGGACAGGCCCGACTTAATGCTCCCGCTGAGAACACAATATGGCGTTCGCGCAGGATGGTCTTGTGTTCGTCAAATTGCATCTTTCGACATTCCATCGCATCGTGGCCGAGGTCGCGTTGGTGGCAAACTTGCACCATGCATGATAACGCCCGCGTAATGTTTGAATCCCGTTCAGTCCCATTCGATGCGATTTCATTCCGGGCTTCATGTGGGCCGCTCTGGCTTAGTGGTTCCCCAATCGGGTGTCCGAGCCCTTAGTCGTTGTTGCGAAGACCTCCTAAGACTTGCCTTCAAAAATCCGCAGCAATTCTGGGCCAAGCACCTTTGGTTCTCACGCGTTTTCGAGACCGCACCGAGCGCTATTGCGCTCCAGGGCCCCACCAGCGTCAGGCACATGGGTATTGCTGCGAAGATCGTCGCAGTCGCCGCGCTGGCCCTCGTCAAGGCCACGGAGGTGTGGTTACTCGCCGATCTGGGCCAAACGTGCACACAAGCTTGTGAAGAAGCGTCTTTGACTTGTGTCGACCAAGACTGGGAAAACGAGGACGTACTGACCCAGAGAGACGTGGCCGGGTTGGTCTGCGTCGACTGTGACTCATGGTCTTCAACCAACTCAATGGCTCCAATGATAAGAAACGACAATATATGCTTTGAGGCCATTCAGTTTCTGTACAAACCATGTGGTCAAGATGCTGGAGACAGTTCGCAAATGTTCTGCAAGTGCGAGGGCGACGGCGCCGTTCAGCCCCCGTGCCCCGGCTCCAACGCCGGCTCCGTCGCAGATCCCGTGGCGGCGGCGTGCGAGCACCAGGCCAATGGGTGCGAGATCGAGTGCACGGAGAGCGACTTCCGAGCAGCGTGCGGTGGCACATCGTGTTGCGAGCTCTTCCAGCAGGCCCTCGTGGATCTCCGCAGTGACGACGGCAGCTCGGACCCCAGCGAACCTGTCAGCTGCAGCGCGGTCCAGGATATAATCGCGCAGCAGTGCAGTTCGTGCGCGGAGTGCGATGCCAGGGCGGAGCAGGGCGGTGCGAGGCTCTTGACGGACGGCCAGGCGTCGGCCGGGCGGTGGTCTTCGAGGGCCGCCGCAGCGGTCGCCCTCACGGCCCTAGGAGCAGCTGCTGTCGCTGTGCTCGGAGTGGCCGCCGTGGCGCTCAGGCGCTGGGGCGCGGTCCGGGCGCTGGGCGACGCGGGCGAGGGTCAGGATGAAGAGCTCGTGCTTGTTAAAGCCCCAGGGTCAAGTTCACCCGCGGAGTGCTGACCCGCCCGTACTAGTTGGACGAAAGGTGCCCAAAGCGGCGCAGTTTAAAGCAGGTTCAGATGGGCTCGATCTATCGAGGACGCCGGCGGAGCATCACTGGGAGTTTGTCGAAGTGGTGCGCAGCATCGAACGTCGTGACGCGGTGCGTATGCCATGTATCAATTGGCCGTCGGCCCATCCCGCCACCGTGCTTGGGTTTCGGTTCGGATTCCTCATGGACGCTTCGTGGGCTCTCTCGAGAGGGCTCTCGGGGGCTATTGGGGTGAGTTTACGTGCCTCTTGGGGGTTTCCTGGGGGCTTCTTGGGAACTGCTTCGGGCCCTCTTGGGGGCCTTTGAGGTTTTTTGGGACGCCTTGAAGGTGCGTGGGGGCCTCTAGAGGCCTTTTTCGGCGTCTTGGAGTGATCCCGCCACCTTGCCTGGGTTGTGGCTCAGAGTCCTCATGGACGCTTGCAGGAGTCTCTTCGGACAGCTCTCGGGGGCTTCTGCGGGGCAGTTTAGGGGCCTCTTGGGGGCGTCCCAGGGGCTTCTTGGAGACCTCTTGGGGCCCTCTTGGGGCCTCTTGGGGCTCTCTTGGGGTTTGTTTGGGGCCTCCAGGGGGCCTCTTAGGGCCTCCTGGGGGCCTCTTGAGCCATCCTCTTGGGGCCATCCTGGGGCCCCTCTTGGGGCCGTCCCGGGGGCCTCTTGGGCGGTCTTGGGGCCCTCTTGGGCCGTCTTTGGGCCGTCTTGGGGGCCTGTTGGGCCGTCCTGGGGCGATCTTGGGGGCCTCTTGGGCCGTCGTGGAGCGTGGGTAAGCCGAAATGGCGTGAACGTGAAAATCCTTCAAAAACCATTAGAAAATCAATGATTTTTGCTTCTCGGGGCTGTCTTGGGGGTGCTCTTGGAGCCCTCTTGGGCCGTCTTAAAGGAGTCTTGGGCCGTCTGGAGGCCATCTTGGGCGTCTTGGAGCGATCTGGAACCGTCTGGAGGCTCTCTTGGACTGCTCGGGACTCTCTTGGACCGGCTTGGGGCGCCCTTGGGTCGTCCCCGGGCCGTTTGAGACCTTGAGGGGGGGGGGGGCGGCGGCAGAGTGGGGCCCCCTCGGAGGGACTTTCAGGAGGTTTTTGACCAGGCACTGGAGAAGGGGGCCAAAGACTGTGCCAGACACTGTGTCAGAGAGGTCTCGCACGGCCCAACCCGCCGGGCGGGAGCGGCCGGATCTCAAGGCTGCCGCCTCTGCCGCCGACCCCAATTGAGCGACGAATGTTTTATTCGTTAGTTGTCGGGGTGCTTTTCCGAGCACGTCGGAAAGGGTTCAGATGAGTCTCCAGATTCTCTGTTGCATCTCGGACTCCTTTTGGTAGCAGTTTTGGAGCCTCGTGGGGTCGCTGTTGGGCCTCTTGGGGGTTTCTTGCAGCCTTCTGGGGCCTCTTGGGTGCCTCTGGTCTTGGGGCCTCCTGGTATTTTTTTTGGCCGTCTTGGGCCATTCGTGGGCTTTTTGTAGGGCAGTCGGAACTCTCTTGGAACGCCCTCAGGTCCTTCTTGCAGCCTTCATTGGGCTCTCTTGTAACCGTCTTGGGCCTCCAATGTAGAGCATATGAAGCAATCCTTTCACATGTGTTTTTCTGAATGCCTTTTGCCAGTCTGTTGCGGCCCGCTTGGGCCCGACGCGGACCTCTCTGAGGGCTCTTTTGGGGCCTTGTTGGGGCCCTCATGGGCCCTCGAAGTGGAGCATCTGAAACGGCCGATTCAGTTGCTCCACTTTGGTTGGCTTTGGGAACGTCGTGGGCCACCCGAGGGCTTACCATGGGACCATTGAGGCATTCTTGGGACGCCCCCAGAGCCCTCCCAAGGCCCTCATCGGTCTCTCTTGAGGCCGCCCGCCACTGGATCCCCAGAGCATGTGAAAGAGCCCTTTAAACGCTCCATTTAGAAGGCTTCCAGCTGGCCTGTTCTGGCACGCTTGGGCTCAACCCGGACCTCTCTAAGGGCAATGCTGGGTTTTCTTAGGGCCCTCATGGTCCCTCCAAGTACAGCGTCCGAAACTGCTGCTCTGACCCTCCACGATGGTGAGCTTCGTCGCCGTGTTGGGTCCCCAGTGCTTGTCGTGCCTTCTCTGGGCGCCCTGCGACCTCTTGAGCAAGCGGCAGTTAGAAGTGAACCTTTTGAAGTAACGTGTGGCGGAAGCTGGCTTTGGAAGTCATGTGCTGCTGCATGAAACAATATACGCCGAACTAGCTCGCGTGCCAAAGGCAGTGGCGCATTGGAGCCATCGCGGTGCGGAACTGAAACAATGAACTCAGCACGCGGCCAGCAAAAACATTGAAATCCACATTTGTCGGACGCGGGCAATATGCCCCGGCTCGGGGTCCGTGATTGGGGATGCCCCCATGCTCAGCCGTAGCCATTACCTCTCGAGACGCCTTGCTGTCTTCTTCGCGTGACCATAATGCCGCCGAAAGCGTAAGGGATTGGCGGTCGGAAAGCATAGGGCAAAGCCAAGGCCAAGGCCAAGGCCAGGGCGGCGAACACACCGAACAAGGCCAAACCCAAGATCGCTGTCGTCACCGAGCCCGTAGTCGAAAGCGAGCCTGGCAGCGCAGAGAAGGTTGACTCCAGAGCCTGGAGCATGCAGAAAGACATCGAGCGGCTCATGAATGATACATTGTCCTTCATCGATCCTCTTGACATCAAGAGCCGTCGTAGCACAAAGGAGGGCTTGACGGTCAAGCAGTATTTGCAAGTGGCGCTGGAGGATAACGCGTTGAAGGTTGGCCGCAATGGCAAGCGGCAGTACTTGACAGAGGAGTTTGGGACCGAGATTTTTAAGTATTCCAAATTCAAGAGGTTGGTTTCCATGGACTTCGCTTCCCTGATCAATCTAATATCTCCTTGGACAACAGTTATTGGGAAGCGATGGGCGTGGCCAACTCCTAGCACCCTGGGGTTCAGAGCGTGGAGCCTTGGTGCGATGTCGTGAACAATTTGAAGGACATCGACGAGGACAGCTTGATTGCCTTGCTTCATGCGTCCACCAACTCCCGAGTGGTCACGATGAAAATGTCCCGCAATATGCAGCTCTCCCGAGCGGGCATGTCTGGCCGGTTGCAAGTGCCCACCTGCAGTTTGGCAGGTTGTTTGTGGCAAGGTCGACTCTGTCTTGATTTGGCATTGGCAACAAAAGGCGAGCCAAGACATGTTCATCGATCAGAGAATCTGGGCACAGACCCACCACCACGCGGTGAAGGCCTTCATTGCGGAGGCCGATTTCGACAAGTGCCACGATTGCGCTGACGCGGAAGAGCACTGCCCAGGGCCAGCCTTGCATAGGGTACTCCAGTCGAGCTTGGGCCAGGCCATGTTCTACTACGAGGCGAAGCAGTTCCAGATCAACGCCTTCATTGAGCGATGCCACCAGCGCGCTGGTGACCTCGTCCATTCGGGCTTCACCGACGAGAACATTGAGGGCTACCGCGCAGCAGCGGACGTGGATATCACGGACTTGGTGAGGAGCGGCCACAAGATGTGCAGGCGCGGCAAGGCAGAGGAACGCATTCTACTTCTCTTGAATGCGCCAGTGGAGGTGTACCCGTACTCGCCGAACGACATCAAGGACTGGATTATCCGTCCCCTTGCTTGCTCACTTGCCGTCTCGAATAGCCAGTTACCGCGGCTCCCGTGGGAGCGCGTCTCGTGGGGGGACGAGGCGCTGCCGCAGTTAGGGGCTACCGAGAAGGTTCCCGAAAACTTGATCTTCCATGCTCGCAGTTCCGGAGACTTGATGGGGCGCATTGCTGGAGAGTGGGGCCCTGGCCGGACTTTGGCAAAGATGCAGGAGGACATCATGAACAACCAGAAGGACATCTTGGAGACAGAACGGGTTGCGTGCTTAGATGCCGCATTCGTTGTGCACAAGGTCCACGGAGTCGCCGACGCTTGGGGGCAGGAGCAGGTCATCCAGGCCCTGGCGTCGACGGCGTCTCCGATCGGGGCTGCTTCTGCTGAGGACGTGCTCAAGTGCTTGAAGGAGGTGAGAAAGCTGAGGGGTGATCGTCGCTTCTCGTGCCTCCCGAGCGGCGTCTCCGATGACATCCACGCGATCGAGTCCCTGATATCTGTCATGGTGGACGGAATCGCATCGGGGGCCAGATTGACGACGTCGGGCGCCACCCTGGACACCATGGCATCGCGTTTGAAGTGCAGCGTGCCAGCGCCCAAGAAGAAGGACAAGCTCAACTCTGTCAAGACGGCGCTCGTGGGTCCCGAAGCTGCCAAGCACATCTTCAAGCGGGTGGAGGACGAGAGCCCCGAGAAGCGCCAGGAGTCCTGATTTAGCTATGCTCCGCAACTTCAGCTGGTTGCTCGGGCCCCACTCGCGCGATAGGACAAACGTGTATCGGTGTGGTGATCCGGCAGGCCCGAGCTTCCGTCGTCGCCGTTGGCATGATCAAAGACGGTCCCGCCGCTGACGCGTCGGGTCTCTTCGCTGCGTCGAGCGGCAGCGCGGGCCGCCCGAAGGGGGCGGGTTCTGCGATCGCAGCGGAGAGTAGCCTGCTGGCGGGGCCGCCGGCCAAGAAGGCCAAGACGAGCGATGAGCGAGGGCCGCCATGAGGGAGAATCTGATGAATATGTGCATGGGCGTGGCGTGAGGTCAGCCTCTTCGACGTGGAACCGCGCCTGCCTCGTTTGGCGCCCGCGCTGGGGCAGCCAGTCGACGGGGTCGGACTGCGCCCGCTGCGATGCGAGACAGCGAACGCCTGCCAGGCGGTTGCGCAGGGGCTTCTCGAGCCTGGAGCTTAGCGCGAGACGGATGTCTGGATCGCGCGCCCGTTGCGCATCGGGCAGCAACGCGCGCTGGAGGGATCGCGGTCAATCGCGGCCCTCCCCGCCCGCGGGCGCCCCTCGAGGGCGGCCGCGTGCGCGCCGCGCCACTGCCAACAGCAATGGCATCATCACCGCGATCGCCATCGCATCGTTACCGTCGCTTCATCGTCGTCGCACACGTCTTCGCCGCCGAGCGCCCGCGGGGGGGGGCGCTTCGGAGCGCGAGCTGGGAAAACATACAGTACTCGCAGAGGGCAGATCGCTAACCGACAATAAGTCGGTAAATCGGAGAAGCGCCAGG